TACTAAACATTAAATCTGTTACGAAAAAAGAACTAAACAAAATGAACACAAAATGATCAGCTTTAAAAAAGGACTCGTAACTGGAAAAACCAAATGAAAAAAGAATGTTAATAACAAATACTTTTTCACACCCAACCCAGTTCTGTGGAATCAGAATCAATGTTGAGCCAATTGGAGTAAAGCGAATGAGCCAATTGGAGTAAAGTGCCATGCAGATTTAAATTTTTCCCACTTGTGACGAATGCAGCTATCGATTTTTTTTGCATGCTAGCATGCTAGTTAACATTCGTGTCAGTCAGCTGTTGGCTCTCACTCTGGCCAGTAGAAAATAGCTGCAAACTACATGAAAACTGCTGTAGAAGCATGAAAAAATTGATTATTTCCACTATCAATGGGAGTCGGGAAATGCAAAGTCAATCTTAGCCTTCCTGCTAACTTGGAACATATGCATGTAAATTTTGGTGCAAATCCGTAGAAAAATTGTGGCTGTGCATTCGTTACACACACACACACACACACACACACACACATCATGACTTTTATAGATAGAGATTAAGATTTCTTGATTATCTGAAAAAAAAATGAAAATTTTTTTTTAATATTATCTTAGGGGTTCACTTAATTGTGCACAATACACACACACACACACACACATATATATATATATATATATATATATCAGGTCAGCCCATAAGTTCTGTCTGAATTTTGAATAAAGAAAACAAGTGACCAAATGTTACATTTAATTACAGATTCAATCAACAATGTATTTTCCCTGATTATCTATGACTTCCTTCTATTAACAAGCTTACTAAATTCCATTATTGTAAAATTCTTTTGGCTTTGATTCAAAGAACTCACAAATGTCAGTTTTAACCTCTTCCTGTGTTACAAAAGCTGTTTCTTCTAAATGATTCTGTAAGCTATGAAACAAATGGTAGTCTAAAGGAGCAAGATTGGGAGAATAAGGTGGATGAGGAATTTTCACCCAACCAAGTTCTTCAATCTTTTGTGATGTGATTCTTGCTGTGTGGAGTTGCGCATTGTCCTGATAAAACATCACCCCTTTTCAATTCACTAGAGCAGGTCTTTTTTTCCTCAAAGCTTGGTTCAAATGCTCTAATTGCTGAGAGTATACTTGAGCATTAATTGTTGCATTACATGGTAAGAATTCAAAGTGGATTATTCTTTGGTGATCCCACCAGATTGAAAGAAGAACCTTTTGCCCATGAAGTTCCCTTCTCGGCTGTGGCTGGGGTCCTTCCCTTTTACCAAACCACTGTCTACGACGCTTAACATTTTGATAAAATATCCATTTTTCGTCGCCAGTCACAAGTCTATACAAAAAAGGTGAAATAAGTTGGTGAGAATGGAGAGAAAAGTAGATGTCAACTCGGGATTTAATGTTGTTTTTATACAATTCATGAGGCACCCATTTTCCAAGTTTAGGAACTTTCCCAAGTTGTTGAAGATGATGATGAACAGTTGTATGGTTTGAACTAAGAACCACTGCCAATTCCTCAACTGATAAAGCAGGATTTTCTTCAAGGGCTGCTTCAAGAAGCTTTTCATCAAACTCAGCTGGACGTCCGGTTCGATCTTCATCTTCATCTTCAAGGGTGAAATCTCCACCTCTGAATTTTGCAAACCATCTTCTGCAAGTTCTTTCATTCACACATTCTTCTCCATTAACTGAGTGAATGTTTCTAGCCGCTTTGGCTGCTGAGTTTCCTTTCTTGAACTTATAAAGCATTATGTGCGTCAAATGATTATTGGGTACTTCATGTTAGCATGGTTTTAATCAAACAAAATTTTATTTTATTGTTTTCTGAAATAAAATTTGCACAGTTTAAATGCATCTAAACATAAAAATAATGTTCAGCTCCATTAGACATTATAAAATACTCTTTAAATTTTGTTCATTTTAACAAAAAGTTAAAATTTGGATAGAACTTATGGGATGACTTGATAGATAGATAGAAAGATTTACATGTGTTTGAATAGACATCTGTCTTTTTGAAACAATTGAAATTAGCATCTACCTGGCAGTAAAAAGCAACTACCCAGTACTGATCCTCTAGATATAAATGATTAAATAATGTGCCAGTTTTGCTTAACTTCAAATGATCATAATTTGACAGATACTTGAAATTAGAACAAAGACCAGCTCTAAAATCCCAAGATTGTCTACTTTCAGATAGAACCTATCATTTGAGAAATGTTCTAAAAATGGCAAATGTCTGCTTGCAAATCCACTGTGCTTGACCTGAGAAAAAGATGTGTATGAAGACATAGTTGTTTTCTGAATGTCAATTCTTGTTTGAAGACGGAAACTCAGATTGTATTGAAATAGTTTTATGTGAAATGAGCCTCATCCACACTTTATTACCCATTATCATGATAAGCATACAGAGGATTAGATTGTTGACATTGCTAAGGACATTGTTCTTTGTATATATATATATATTGATTCATTCATTCATTTTCTATGGCTTATGAACCCTTTGCAGGTTATTTAAAGCCAGAAAATATTTTTAGATTGTAAGAATATTTTTTTGAGATAATAATGATTTAGTAATATAAGTCTTACTAAACTGAATTTCTGAAAGAGCAAATTTAATAATTTTTGTTTTATATTCATTTACTTCATTTCAACTGAAAACTAAAAAGCTAACATCATATTTTAAGTGTAATGTCATTTTCCATATCCTCTTACAGTGTGTTACTTTGATTTAGTGGATAGCCAGGGAACTAGCCTGAGATTAAGGAGGAATTTTTTTTCAGATGCATAAAACTCATCTGTAAAAAAGTATCAAAACTTTATCCAGCATTGTTTCCATTGACGGAAATATTCCTGGGACTTTTTTGGGAAAGAGAGCAACTGCATCATTGCATTCTTTTAGATTGTCTTGAAATCTTGTTCCTTTCAAGTGAGATTTGATTTTTGAAGAGAAAAAGTCACAAGAGATGAGATCTGGGGAATATGGTGGTTTTGGGGCCTGGGGAATGTTGTGTTTAACCAAAAATTTCTGCACCATTCATGGTTAATGATGGAACCTCTGTGGTGTGGTTGGATAAACAAAATCTACACACTTTCCTTCCAAGCACCACCCACTTTCTGCCATCCATTCACACAAGATCATTAGTTAAGTGGTTTATGACCTTCCCCTATCTCTCTTACCCTCAGTGTTAATTTTTCCAAGCCCTCATTCCTGATTATGTAGCCAAGGAATTTCAGCTATTGTTTCCTGATTTTAAGTATGTTTGAATACTGCTTCTACATCTGGTCTGGTGCTTCTGCTATATATTTAGAGATTCTTGATAAAATACAAAGAAGAATCTGCAATGTTATTCATGCTGATTGGGCATCTCACCTTCAGTCAATTTCCCACCACCATAATGTAGTTTCTCTGTGCCTTTTCTGTAAACACTTGTATGGTAATTTTTCTGATGAACTATCCTCTATGACTCCTAGACTTTATGAATTTAAACATACTACTAGATTGGCAGCAAGGTCTTACCATTTTACTCTTGAAATGGCTAGATATAACCATAAATTCTATGCTAAAAGTTTCTTCTCTTGTACTTCTTGCTTGTGGAACTTTCTTCTGATTTCATGCTTTCCAGTCAACTTTAATCTTCAAAAATGTAAATGCAATGTCAATCATTATCTTCCATTATCTTAATTCATGTTCTTTTATTGTTCTCTCTCCTTAACAGTGTTTTTTTTCGTATTCTCTCATACTCAGTAAGCATTTGTGTCTTAGTGGCTTTATTGCCTAGCTTGGAAACAATTAAAAAAGTATTCTTTTAGTTGTCATTTTCTTCAAGACTTCCTGTTCATGGAATTTTCAGTATTCTTCTGTAGAACTACATTTCTGCTGCCTCTAGTTTTTTGAATTCAGTACTTGAAACAACTCTTAGAATAACGATAACCTCTTCCTGCTATAGGAAAAGAAGACCTGTCTTTATGGCTTTTACTCTTGAAGAAAATTGTAGAATTGATTGGTCAAAATATTAGGGAAACAACAAAAGCAAAAGAAGAAAAAAAAAAGAAAAGAAAAGAATGAGTTCAAATGCTTAAACAACTCTTCAAACACTAGTGCCATTTCTCATTCTCCATGAACTTCACTGGACCCTGAAGGGTATAGCCATCATTAGGAAGTTATTTAGCATTAAATATTATTAATGTTCTGTTGCTTGTTGGCAGGAGTGACACAGACTAATGTCTATTTTCGGTTGCCCATTAGTTTATTACTGTAAAATTTAATTTGCAGAATTTATGGAATTTCCAGTCAGTCACACAAAGAAACAAGCAAAAATAATGTTCAAAAGAAACACAATAAATTGAATTGATCAAAGAAAATATTATAAAAGGTCCAACTCCAAATGAGGTTATTACTGTATCTCTGAGGTCAATGATAAAACCTTATCATTTATATTTATTTTTAAAACTCAAACACTGGTGATTCACATTGTCTCTATCTTTTATTTAATAAAAACTTGCTTCTTTAAGAAATTGTGTTGATATGAACATGTTTAAACAAAATTTATGAATTTATGTATAGTACTAGATTGGCAGCAAGGTCTCACCATTTGATAGTTGAAATGGCTGCTAAATGTAACCATAAGTTCTATGTTAATAGTTTCTTCTCTTGCACTTCTCACTTGTGGAACTCTCTTCCAGCTTCTTGCTTCCCAATTTTCAAAAATCTAAATGCAATGTCAATCATTATCTTCTGTCTTCTTAATTCCTTTTCTTCTTTGTTCTCTCTCATTGATAGTGGTTTGTTTCTCTCATATTCTCTAACACTCAGTGACTTTTTGCATATTAATAGCTTTATTGCCTTGTTTTTGGTGAAATGATTTAAAAAAAAAAGAAAAAATCAATTATCTTGGAGTAATTTTTAAAAAAATACCCAATGTCAACAGTTAATTCTCAAATTAACAATTCTGAACCATTATCCATTACACTACCAACCCACCCGAGCTTAGAGTAACTGGTATTTCCAAGTGGTCACCCATCAAGATGCTGACCAGGCTCAACGTTGTTTAACTTTGATGATCATATGGGAACCAGTGCTTCAATGTTATGTGGCTGTAAACTGCACATTTAGGGAGGCTGAGGTATCATCAAGTCACCCCACCAGCACTTCACAATATCACCAGACTATATTGGTTACTTAGTAAAGATCTCAAAGTATGTGTAGTGAGGTTGGCAATTTGAATATGCCAAGTAAAAGCTGCAAAATGTATCTTTTAAGTGAAAAGGTGAAATTTCCCAGTTAATAAGGACACAACAAAATCATAGACTAAATGTTAGATGATAAAGGCCATTCCTAACTTGACTTCCCTCATCTCACAGAGCACAACCTTTGTGAGATCTCTATCTCAGCTCAGGAAGTTTCCAGACTTATCAAAAACCTTGATTCTATTTTGATTCTATTTCTGGTTTAGATAAAATACCTGTAGTTGTTCTCAAGAACCTTGACTGAGTTTTATCCAATTTTGGCAAAGCTGTTTAACCACTGCTTGAAGAAGAAATATTTCTCAAGCCCATGGAAGGTGTCTAGAGTATGCCTTGTATCCAAGAATGCAGGTGAGCCATCATTCCCATCACAATGTCACCCTATCAACCTCCTTAGTTTAATTAGCAAACTTTTTGAAGCTATCATCAACAAAAATGTTGTTGACAACCTCAACAGAAACAACCTCATGAGTGACAGCCTGTATGGGTTTCATTCTTCTAGGTCCATTGCTGACATCTTAATTATTATCACACAAACTCAGTGAAGTGCTTGATAATAAAGACATCTCAAAGGTGACTGACTTTGACAATGTATGATATCTGGGATTAGTACACACTATGGAATTTCTGAAAGAGTTTTCTCAGTTAGTAAATCTTTCTTATCAGGTAGGTCTATGAAGGTCTTTGTTAATGGCCAGTCCTCTGAGACACATGAAATCAATGCTGGTATTCTCTAAGGCTCTCTCTCTATATATTAATGATCTGCTTAAGGACATTCTCAGATACTTAATAAATATATATGCAGATGATACCACGGTGTATGGGTGCACCTCCGAATATCTTGATGATCAGAGCCTGGAAGATGATCTCTCCTCTGACATAATACTCACAGCTCAATGGGAGGGAAAAAACAGGATTATGTCATTTAATACTCCCAAAACAAAGCTAGCAATGTTTCATCACTATCAAGTAAACTATAAATTCGCTCCAATCTTGACGAGTGGCCATATCCTCAAAAAAGCTTCTTGTCTTGAATGCCTGATGGAACTGAAGTTCATTCCAGACCTCAAATCAAATTTGTTAGTTTAAAAGATACTGGAAGTTATCATCAGTTCCTTGTATCACTCCAGAAAATACCTAACTCCTGCTGACATGCTCTATCTTTATGAGAGTTAGATCAGACCAAGAATAAAGTACTGCTACCCTATGTGGGCTGATGCTGCCCAGTCCTTATTGTCCAGCTTGAACAGAGTTCAAAAGCAATTATGTATCTTCATGCTTTCCAGTCAACTTTAATCTTCAAAAATGTAAATGTAATGTCAATCATTATCTTCCATTATCTTAATTCCTGTTCTTTTATTGTTTCTCTCCTTAACAGTGTTTTTTCTCATTCTCTCATACTCAGTAAGCATTTGCATCTTAGTGGCTTTATTCCCCCTTGCTAGGAAATGATTAAAAAAATATCCTCCTATACTAAATTTATTATAACTGATCCATACAACGAGGTATTTGAAATGCTTTTATTTATTTTCATTTACTAATTCCATATGCTGAATTTTTATGATGAATTCATTCCAATTCCAGATCATAATTTCTGTTAGGAATGTTTTTTTGCAAGCCCTATTTCTTAGAAGACTTGGTAGTGGATGGTGATTTTTAGATTTCTAATTCTGACAGAAAATAGATATCATTATATAAAGTTTGATATGTTCAAGAAGCAATGAATATGTAAAAAATGTGTTTAATCATCTGGTTATTTTTTTGTTTTCCACAGTTGTTCTTCAAAATAACAAAGAATGAAAAACTTTCCTACTTACATTTATGTGAATGAATCAGTAAAGATGATTGTAGCATCTGTTATGAGCATAAGGAAGGAAAATGAAGTGAGATCCACAGTTTGCCAGTGGCTTGTAGAAGTGACGACAGAAAAACTGAAGCCACTGCACTTCCCTGAAATGATATGAAATGTAACAAATATTAATCAAAGCTAACAAAATGGATGCAAATCAGAACTGGATTTAATGAATGACATTAATTATGAAAGCAAAAATAGTTTAAAATTTGGGATGAAAAAAATCACTGATCTTTCTCTTTTTCATATTGATTCTTCAATCTTCAGTTTTTAAATATAAAAAGGTAACTTTAAAAAAAAAAAAAACCATGCTGGAGCTTATTCATCATCATTATGGCTTGGGTTTAAAAAACTGTATCAAATAACAGAAACCACACCACTTGAGGACTTTCAAACAGCAGTAACAAATAAAATAGACAGCACGTGTAACTAAAAGAGAAAATAAGATGCTAATGTACCCCACTACTTCAAACAAAAATGTTAGGAAGATATGTTCCATAAATACTAGAAAGAGCAATAACAGTTACTGCACTTAAGAAACCCATTTTCTTGAAAAATTGTTTTAAGAGAAAGACTATAAATTTTGGCTAAAAGTAGCACTGCCTGGTCAGTTAATGAATGCTGAATGTTTCCTTATAAAGAAATGGCTGTTACCATTAGAGATGAGGAGAACAGATGTTACACTTTGATCTCAGTCTGATCCAGGGAATGAAAAAAATTGTAATTTGAGTAGAATTGGCTGCTCAGTCAATGAATGCTGAATGTTTCCTTATAAGGAAATGGCTAATATTACAATTACCAATTGTGAATGAAGATTTTAAAGTAAAGTAATAGAGCCAATATCTTTAAGATTTTAGGTTTTCTGTTGTAGTTTTCTTCTCCTAGGGAGATAACTGAACCATTTGCTGAAGTTTGCCACCACTTTGAAGTGGTACCCTAACAGAATGGTTGACCTGGATAGATAACATGATAATAACTATTAATTATAATGTTCAGATGATGATTTATTTAAACACAGAAATAATAATAAAAAAAATCAATCAAATTTATTAGTTAATCAAATATTAATAAAAGTTTACATTTATGTAATAATTTCTTAATGTTGAAAGTTCATGAGAACTCATCATATATGACAACTCTTAAGAAAAATTCCAGTAATCATCAAATGTTTTTCTCTACTGCCATAAATATTTTGTTTGTTAGAACAGAAAATGATTAAGGCAAAGGATTAGCAGTAAAGTCAGTGAGTAATAAAAAGCTAAAACTTCACTTGTGCATACAGGGTTCAAATACAGGCATTGCTAAAAAACCATCATGACATATTTCCTTATATTTTCCTATACTACCAGAATTTCTTGTGTCAGTTTTTATGGATTTAATAAATCCTGTCTAGGATAATGGAGCCTTTAAGCAATAAGGAAGTTTAAAGGAAAATGGAAACAAAAAAGACAATTATAAAAGCAGAAAATGATAATTGAAATTTCTGGGACTCATAGTGAGAAATGAGGGCCTGGAAAATTTGAAACTCACAGGACATATTGAATGTAAAAGGGACAGAGGAACACAGCAAGTAACCTATTTAATGAGCTTGTGTAAATGGATGGCTGAACCAGGTAATAGGAGAGATAGTAAGAGGGGAAAACAAAGGATAGGAACTTATGGAGAGTCATGATCCCTGACGTCCTGAGGGAAGATGGCACAGATAAGATCTGTGAGAGTATCTAAATCAAGATATTAATTTTATGTCTCCTTGTTTTATTTTTGATTGATTGATGGATTTGTTTTCTACAGCTAATCAACCCTTTACATGTTATTTAAAAACAGAGGGTATGAATGTAACAAACCCAACTGGAATTGGAACTCAGTTCTTGGATTAACAATTCCAAGTCGTTGTCCAGGAAAATACCTTCATATCCATGCTTACAGCAAATGGTATTCCCAAGCAATCACCCATCTAGGTACTGACCAGACTCAATATTGCTTAACTTTGGTGATTGTATAGGAACTGATAGTATCAACATGATATGTCAGTAAGCCACTAGTTTTGTGAATGTGTTGGTAGTGTAATGGTTATTGGCATGAAAAGTGGAATTGACAATTAGAGTTCAAATTCTGGCTTAACCTGTTGCATTCACTTTTATACTAATGCTTTTGGCAAAGGCATAAATCCATCACTTCTCCACAACAGCTATGGATAAAATAGCAAGGTAGACTGGGCTTTCTAGCTTTGGGTGGCAACCAGTCTAAGAGAAGGAAAACTCTGAATTTCAAATTATAGAGAAGTCAACAGGAAACTACTTCGCCATTTTTACAAAAAAATCATGTTAATTCTCATATGATTAAGAAAAGGAATCTGTGGAGAGCCATCATTGCATATGCCCTTTAAGGGCTATGGTATTTAAATTAAAAAAGGGGAATTTAACATACCATATTTGATGGCATTTAAGACACCTCCAAATATTAGAATTGCATATATTTGTAATAAATGCACAAAAAGGAACTGTATAAAATTGGAAACATAGAAGTTCCAGTAACAATCCAATATTTTATTTTCAATATTCTTACTGAAATGGGGAGGAGAATTATATACTGGAAAATACAATACTTAAATAAATATAAAACTATACCCTACTTTGCAATATTAACTTTTGTCACATTGGAATAAATAATAAAAAAATGAAAATAATGATTTAATTTTCTATATCTTAACTCCTTGCAGGTTATTTAAAATCAGAAAATATTAGATTCTAAGAATTTTTTTTAGACTTAATAATGGTTTAATGATACAAGTCTTACTAATTAACTCATAGCTAAAGAGAGAAGAAGTGGATTTATATCTTTCCCAAGGATATTTGCATGTAAGTGAATCTAACAAACTCAATGGGAATTGGAATTTGGCTATGTGATTAACAATTCCATGCTATTACCCATTACACTACCTGTGCATCAAAGCTTAAAGCACCTACTCTTCCTAAGTGGTCACCCATCTAGGTACTAACCAGGCTTAACATTACTTAACTTTGGTGATCGTACAGTGATCAGTGTTTCAACATGACGTGGACTTAATAAAAAGGAAAAGACTGATACAAAGAATAACATAACCAGTAAGGATGCTTGCATCAAATAACAGCATAGAAATGAACTAAATTAGTTTAAATCCATGTCAGTAAATGATGGCACAGAGGTAAGAGTATTAGATGTGCATTTAGTCATAAGCAGGCCACTGGTCATGACTGCCAAAACAGTTCTGACTACTTGTACTGATGCCAACATCTGGCCTTGGATTACGGCCAAGCTTTAAGCATTAGTCATAGCTATACAAGTCCTTTTATCACCAACATTAACTTCAAATGGTCAACAGAAATGGCAAGTATGTATTCCAATTTTGGTGATGAATGTAATTCTGACTTTATTGATAGACTGAAAATATTATTTATTAAAGGATAGTATAAGCAATGAAAAATTTCACTAGAAACAATGAGTGATTTTTTCCTATGGTTTATCAACCCTTTGCAGGTTATTTAAAGCCAGAAAATATTTTTAGATCGTAATAATTTTTCTTTTTGGAAATAATGGTTGTGGTGATACAAGTCTTACTAATTAACCCATAGTTGGGAGAGAAGAGGCGGATTTATACTTTTCCCAAGGGTATTTGCATGTAAGTAAATATAATGAACCCAACTGGAATTGAAAATCAGCTCTCTGATTAACAATTCCAAGCCAGTATCCATTACACCACTCACATACCCAAGCTTACAGCACCTGGTATTCATAAATGGTCACCCATTTAGATACTGACTGAGCTCGGTGTTGCTCAACTTCGATAATTGTACAGAAACCAGTGTTTCAATATGTAAGCCACAGAAACAAAGAAAAGAATTCTGAACTGTTATATAATATCATTCTTCCTTTATGGCAGTGAATGTTGAATAATCTCCTCACAGATGAAAAAGAGTCTTGAATCAACAGAAATGTGGTTCTACAGAAGGATACTTGTTGTATAGTCCTTTGGTGGGGGTGGTTTTGAGGTGACAGTGATTGCTTGATAATAAACTTGCATTCTTCTCTTGTAGCCAGTGATCACTAGTTGGTTTTTGTTCCAGTGATAAAAAGAACTTCAACAAAGGGAATTTTAGACTTAACTATCTTATTTATGTCAACATACACATCTCTAACTAGCCTTTGGATTTGCTCTCTCACCCTAATAGGAAGCTGCTCCCCAGACATGAAGGAAACACATCTAGATTGTATGACAGTTTAGACTCGACTCTTGGAAAAAAACTTTATCTATCATTTCCATGCTAGTTCAGCCAATCAAAATCGACTTATTTTGTCTTGTATCTGATCACTAAGGTCAAACTGGCAAAGTTAGAGCAGAAATACACTTATCTAAAAAATAATAGTCTACTAAACTATTATTTAACATACTGAGAATACCATAGACTGAACATCTGAGAAAACTTAGAGAAAATATAAACAAAAGGACACTTATACTTAGAAATCAGAAGGGGAGATTAAAATTTTTAGGGCATATAATGAGGAAAGAGGGATTAGAGAATTTGTTACTCACAGAACATATTGAGGCTAAAAGATGGTGGAAAATATCACATAAACTACTTATTGTGTAAATGGTAGGCATTAGGAAAGATAGAAAAAAAATTATTAAGAGTTACAATGGACAAGAAATTGTGGAGAGCCATGATCATTAATGTCCTGAAGGGACATGGCATGTAGAAGAAGAAAAAGATATAGCTCAGTTCAGTAGCATTATCTCAAATTGAGGTCAAATTTAGTTACCTGATTAGTTCTCAGTTTCAGCAAAAGACTGGGAAGCTTCAGTTTTTCTACCTCAATATAGACACATGCATAAACATAAAAATATATATACATTGTATTTTAAGTATATGGACATTATTACATTTTTTATTTAAAAAAAAAAAATCATTTCACTCCAAGCAAGGCGATAATGCCAGTAATACACAGGGGTTACAGGGAGTGAAAG